TACCTTGTTAATTGTTTACCATCCTTGAAGATGATTTCATTTTACAAAGGCGTAGAATGCTTAGTATGCTTTATGATAGGCTTTCAAAGTAAAAGTTTCGATACAATCAAAGATGGCATACTGGCCAAAGAAAGAAAGAAAGAAAGAAGATAGAATGAACTAGAGACTAGTCGGGTGGCTTATCTTGAATGTTGGGTAATGTTGCCGACTATGTCGCTTAAAGGCCACTCATTGTGGATCTTCTGAACGAGACACTTTGTAGTACTGGTCACATACTCCGGTAAGCCTACTTCGGCTAATTCGATACTAAGACGAATGCCCACGCACTGGGAGTGGTGAGATGGCGGGAGTAGCGTGTACCCTCATGGCTTGAATGTGGCCGGATTTGAGGTGTGCTGTGCTCTCGGGTGGCGTGGAGACGGCTTAGTACGGGAGGATCCGGTAGCGAGGTTGATATATGCAAGATTAAGTTCTACATATGTCGTGTGATAAGGAATCCCCAGCTAGGACTTGAATCAATTCGAATTGCCGGTGCTCCGCGGATATGGAGACTCGATTCATTACAGAAGCAATGTAGGACTGGTGAATTACTAAAACTTGAGAAAAGGAATGGAATGAGAAGGATTGGAACATGGGATATGAACACTTAGTTTGAGATATTGAACTAAAGTACTTAGGGGTAAAACTTGAAACTAGGATCAAGAATAGTAAGCTTTTGGCAAAGAACTTTTGAATCTTTCTACATCCTTACCTTGACCCAACACCTGCATCCCTATGACCTTCACCCTTTTTGGTCGGGTCAGTCTTGTTGAGTACTTTTGTACTCAGGGTTTGTTAACCCTTGTTGCAGGTGAGTCGCATGCGCAGGCTTGTTTTGGTCCCTGCTGCATGTCAGTGTTTGAAGTCGATGACGATGAGGAATGATGAATGGCCTTTGGACAAGGCACTAGTTTGTGTGAAATAAATAATGTTAATATAATATTATCCCGCTACTATGGTTGTATGACACGTATGGTTTTGTAAGTTTGAAACAACTGGTTTGTAATATCAAAACTTAAGTCTTCCGCTTTATAATCTCTGGTATGTATATTGAAAACTGTTGTAATCTGCAATGACTGTGATTGGGATCCTGTTTGGAAAAGATTCGTGGATGATTCGGGTTTCCCGAGGACACCCGACAGATCTATTAAGTTGTTGGGAACTTGTGTACTCTATCTGAGGTCTGTTGAGACACCAATAGGTGCACGTGGACCCGATTTCTTAGGAGGTTCTGCCACATCTAGCACCACTAGAGATGTCCTTTCTCCGGTCCCCTTGCAGCGAACTATTTTGGTGCTTCCAAATCCTCTCTTTACATCCTTTGTTTGACACCCTTTTCTTCTATGCACTCAAGGCTTCCACCATCGGAGTTTTCGGTGGGTCTAATGTCTTGATTACTTTATCTCTACGTTGTCTAAGTCCAAGCCAACCTTGCATCCATTGAACTAAACCTTTTATAATAGCAAACATTATTTCCAAACGACCATGTTGTCACTTAAACATCAAAATCACTTAATGGCCCATGCAATCTACCATTTTGCTTACAATTTTAATAGGGGCTAACCTGGGGCGGCGCCTTGCAGCAGAAAGGCGCATGGGAGGGGTTTGTGGGCAAGTGAACAGGGTGGTGGGGTGGTTTCTATGGAGTGTTGGGTCTTAGAGGGCCGGTTAGGTTTATGATTTTTTTGTTTTTTTAAAATTTTTAATGCATTTGCTATTCACTGCAAGGCGCCAATGCCAAATGCATGCACACGATTAAATTTCCATGAGTGTTTTCGATTTGTTCTGTGCATAATGTTTGAACCAACATTTTTCTCTGTGTGTTTCAACGAAACCAGCAAGGAATTACCCTGTGTATTGGCACATACAGAAAATTCTTAAACTTTTTATGTGAGTTTTTATTTTTTCTGTCGGTACTTTCGAAACCGACACATTAATCATGAATTTCCCTATATCTCTCGCAAAAATTTGATAAAAAAAATTCGTCACTCACGGAGCAATTTCTGTTTCTAGTAGTGTATTAAAAGTCAAACAATGTAATATGAATTTGAGCTTATTGGGGATAGCGAGAAAAATAAGTAAAAAGGGATTTCCTAAAGCGATATTTTTCTCCTTCAATCCTCTGTAAGGCACACCCCTACATACAGAGAAACCAGGTTAGGGAGATTCTTTGAAATCCCACAAAGATTATAAGCGCTAGGCAACTCTAATCCTACACACGGACCCTGTGGGCCGTATGTGGATGATCTCTTGCCCAGCCCAGCAAGAAGTTGGTCCTTTTATACACGGAAAACACGCCTGGTTAGATCCAGCCGCAACTCCACGGCACACAAGTCCGGTGAGCACATTTCACCTGCAGCGGTTCTACTCCAGCCTATTTTTTTACCCCAAATCCCTAACTTCTCTCTCCTAGTTTTAGTCTGTGTGCTGCTGTAGCAGGTCGTTGAACCCCGCGCTTCTCTCAACTGACGCAGAGTGGCACTGATCCTATACGTCTATTTTTAATTCTTACTGCCTCCATCCGAAAAAGGATATAATTTTAGCTTCATACTTAGTCAAAACTTCAAAAGTTTAGTCAATATTGTAGAACAAATGTCAATATTTACACCACAAAATATTTATACTATGAAAATATGTTTGATGACGAATATAATAACCCTTATTTCGTATCATAATATTGGTATTTTTTCTATAAACTTGGTCAAACACAATATAATTTGACTTGACATATATTATGCTAGAATTGTATTCTTTCATGGACTGGTAGGGTATTTTTTTTAATAATCTTAGTTCCAACAAGCCCTTGAAGGAAAAAAAAAGTGAACAAAAAGTTTGAATATTTCCTTCATTTTTACATGTCGTATTAGGTTTGTCCTAAGTCAAACATTCTTAACATTGACCATCACTTTTGAAAAATTCATATAGTTTCACAACATGTAAACTATATATTATAAAAGTTATCTCTGCTTAAATATTCTCTAGCAAGCATCCCTATCTACCTCATGTCTATGATAAAATTCCCAAAATGGATGGTAGATGCCATTAACTCTTATCTGAGCCACTTCTTCTGAAACAACTCGAAAGATGGGCATACAATTGGCAGCTTATGGTTGAGAAAGAGTTTAGTGGTTTAGGTATCCCTGATTTAGTAAATTTATGTATGCTGTCCTCCTGGATTTCAAGATATCACTTAAGTGATAATGTTCTATGGAAACAAATTGTAGACCAGAAATATGTGAATAATAGGCCGAATCTTTTTTTGTTGGTCCAATACCAAAACTTCACCCTTTTGGAAGGACGTGCTTTGTCAGCAAAGGCAGCTAAGTTAGGCTATTGTCGGAGGGTGGGGGATGGTATGAAGATACGTTTTTGAGAAGATCGTTGGTTTGGCAATTCGAGCCTAGCCAGTTCTGGCCTTTGTATGTGATAACTGATGAACCTAATATTACCACTCATGATGTGTGGGATGGGGACCAACTGAAGTTGACCTTCAGAAGAACCTTCTCCCCTTGATGATGTCTCTGTGGTATGATTTGTTAGCCACTGTTGAATCTATTAATAATTTCTCTAAGGATTGTGATGCTATTATTTGGGAATATAACTCTAGAGGAGTATACTCGGTTCAATCTCTTTAGTCTTTACACCATAACCTCCTTTAGAGGGATTATGCTAGTTTATACTCCTACCATTGGAAAATTTGTGTAGCCCTCTAGGGTACAGATTTATTTTGTGGCTGTTAATCAACAACAAACTGCTTACCAGAGGTAACTTAGCCAAACAGAAGAGACGTAGAAGACAAAACTTGCTTGTTTTGTTGCGAAAATGAAACTACTAGGGCGTGTTTGGATTGTGCCTCCCAGGCAGCTCGTTGCCCAGGCAAGTCTCCCTGGTGTCCGATTTCGGACAACCGTTTGGCCAAAGAAAAAGCCGCTTCCTAACACCTAGGGCCAGGATCGGCTGCCTGGCAGGCATCTGCCAGCCATGACTCCATCAAACGAGCCCTTAACCATCTTTTTTTTTATTGTTGTGTGGCTACAAATATAATGTTTGGTCAGTTATTGCTCAAACTTTGAACTGTGTGACTAGCACCTGCTTTGAATCATTGCCAAGTTCTGGATTTGTGGCAAGAATTAAGAGTGTGTTCATCTCCCATTTTATGGGGTTTATGGAAACACCGCAATGCCTTGTGCTTTCAGGGTGGGGGGAGATGGAAGAATACTATGGTGACAATACAAATGGTAACAAAAATGATAAGAAGATGGCAGGCAATATACAAGGAGCAAGATTGGGAATCCATGGAGCTGGTCATCAAAGAGCTGGAAGCAGAAGTAAAAGGCCAGTGAGCATCACCAAGCGCAGCAACAAACTAAATCAACTGGGAGTGAGGAAAGCCAAAACTTCACCTCAACAGAGATGCGGCAGCATTTGAAGATACTGACGGCATAGACCCAAACCGTATAGCTTCTCATGTTGTTTAAAGTCTAAATGGATGATTTTGGTGGACGCGCCTAGAGTACATCTATGTACTGAATGTTTTTGCAAATTGGTGCTTTGTACCCTGTAAATAAAGCAGGAGAATTAAAAAAAAGAATCTAAAAACATAAACCTTATGATGTTAATCTATACATTTTTAAAAAACTTGATGGCCAAATAGAAATGTTTGACTTAGGACAAAATTAATATGGCATGTAAAAGAACAGAAGGAATGCTACATAAAAAATCAACAACAATATACTATTGGTCCAAACCCACTCTTCATACTTCACCAGCCGTATTGCTGGATCTTCTGCATCATGTAGATCAGTTGGGTGGTGGAATTTCGTAAATACAAAGTTGCCGAGATAAATAAATAAAAAGATTATAAAGAGTAGCACACTGCGAGCAAACCAGCAAGTCGTCCCGTCCAGGTACTCTTCAAACTGTTTGGTTCCACACTAAGCACCTAGCAGTATGTCTAGGGGCTAAAGTTTTTCGTAAAGCAGCCGCTCCAGCTCCTTCATGTTTGCAGCTTCCATGCACATGAGCACGCGGACGCCGGCGTCGTCTGCTGGCCCGTCGTTCATTAGGTACACAAATCCACCACGGATGGACTCCGCCCGCAACATCACCCATGGCTTCCCCCACCCGAAATCTGCATCGTACACTGGCATGCCGAGCCAGCTGATAATCTGTAGATCGGTCTCTAGCAAGGTGCCCTTCACAGGCCGGCTGTCCGTCTCGGCCATGGCCATCGTCTCATAGTAGTCGATCGCGGACCGCACCAGCTCGTTGTCCATCCGATCGATGGCGCCTTTGACGCGGCCGGCGACAGATGCCAAGGCCTCTGAGGCGATGTCTCGCACTGCGCCAGTGACGCCCATCCTGACCGATTTTTTTCTCGAATATGCACAAGCGATGCGTATCATGGTATTAGCTAGAAAGAGTTTGAGCAATACAAGCCGTTCCACAGCCGCGTTAGTGTTTTGCAAGTGCTACATTTTGAAACAAAACAACATTCAAGGGTGGCGAGCCAACGTTTCAAGCCCCCATGCACCGGCGTCGATCCACCGATCGGCCTCGGCCTTGACTAGCTGCAGCACCTCGTTCACCGATGAGGATGCCTCCCTGAAGCACCTGGCGTTTCGTTCCTTCCAGATGGTCCAGCAGACTAGCGCAAACAGTGAGTCAATGCCTCGGTGCCGGACGCCATTGTATGCCGCTTGCAGTCGTCGCCACCATCGCAATGTTGTAGCTGCGGCTGGTTGTGGCAGTGGGCGTTGCAAGGCTTGGAGAATGTGGAACCAGACCTCTCTGGTGAAGGGGCACTCGGCCAGGATATGATCAATGGTTTCACGCCCTTGGTCGTAGAGGTAGCACATCTCCCTTGCTTCTAGCCCGTGCCTAGCTCTCCTGTCTCCGGTCCAGTGGCGTCGTCTGAATGCCAGCCAAAGAAAGATCTTGATCCGCAGTGGAGCCCAGGTTTTCCAAATGAGTTTGTGACCCAAGAACGGAGTGGATGCTGAATGCAGCATGTAGTAGGCAGATTTCGCCGAGTAAGCTCCATCGTTGGCCTAACGCTAAACGGTTCCTGACCGATGAGTTTCCAAAGTAGCCGATCGGGAGCGGTGGGCTCATTCTGCGCCGAACGCTAACCCGGAAGTTGAGTCGTGCTTCGGAATCGGACGGAAGCCGGCGTGCAATGCACGTGCACTGCCACACAAGGGCGCTCATGGCGCAGAAGGTGCTTGTGCCCCCGCTGAGGCGCTTTAGGGAGGCGACCTGGTCCTTGGAGATGACGAAGACTTGGATGGCGATAGGTCCTGGCGGGTAGGAGAAGGTGGCCTTGGGGTAGAACTTCGTGAGGGCGTCTGGGTGGACGGTAGGCGGGGACCGTGCACGGAGGAGAGTGTGGTCATGCCACGGGAGCTCTATGGTAGCGCGGTCTGTTAGTTGATCTCTACCAATAGGCCTGGGCCCTTGTCTCTGCGTCCTGATCGGGGGCGCCCAACCCTAATACGGTTGATGGGCCCCTATCGCACAGCACATATAAAAGAGAGGTGGGGATCATGACTCTAACTACGAGGTTGGTCTGAGCCACCGTGATCCACCACAGTAAACCTAATCCGATCAAAGGAGTGCTGCCAGCGACGGGAAGCCCACCGACTCCGCCGTCGCCCCTGCAGGGTCACCACCGTCGCCATTGGACCTCGCCTGCATCGCCACCACGACGCCTACAATGCCATGGTACCGGCGTCTACACTGTTGCGGCGAAACTACGCAAGGGCGAGGAGGCTTACCCCAGATCTACGGTTACAGAAAGGTACACTATGATTCTAACATTGGTACCAGAGGCAGGTTGCCAGTGTGTAACCCTAACCCTAATTGGGTAAAAGCAAATTGAAAAGAGACCGGGGTGGTAGACGTCACTGGAACCCCGGTCACCACCGCCACCAAGCGGGGAAAGATGCCGCACCGCCGTCCTCGCCGCCGCGCGGCAAGAAAACAAGGGAAGAACATCCGTGTTCGGATCAGAGAAGAGATAGGGGTCTCGGCACTTCAAGTCGAACCCTAACCCACGAACAGAAAGAAGAACAGTGGGGTTGGAACCCTAACCCTAACTCGTGACGAGGAAGGGAAGAGAATGTTTCGGTATAAATAGAAAAGAAAAAGAAATCAAAAGAAAAGCGAAACCCTAACCCTAGATCTCGATTTGGATGAACTCCGAAAAGAAAAGAAATCAAAAGAAAAGCGAAACCCTAACCCTAGAACGAATCCCCATCCCAAATCGGTTCAATCCGAGCACCAAAAGAGAACTAGAGAAGAAAACCAAAGAAAGAAGAAGAACAGTCCAAACCCTAATCCCTATCACCGGTTCGGATAAGAGAAAAGGAAACCAAATTGGAGAAGGGGAAAGGGGGAACGGACCTACCTCACCGTGCATCGGGATGACCCTTCACCGGCGCGGGAGAAGAAGGGCCTAGCCAGGGGCAGCTGCTCGCCGGGCTCGGCCAAGGGGGGCGCCGCGTCCAGGCCGCTCGACGGCGGCGTGCTCACCCGTTGGGGAGCACGCGCGCCGGCGAGGGGGCTGGCGATGGTGCCATGGCTGCCTCGCTCCACCGCCTTCACTCGCTCTTGGTTGTGCTCGCTGCGCTGAGAAGAACGGCGAAGAAAGAGAAAGGGGAATAAGAAATGAAGTTAGGGTTTCATGGAAGCCGCTGCTGTCGCGGTTTTGATCGTGCGACTCGCGCGGACGACCGTAGGATCTAAATGAGCGGCCGAGATCGACTAGACCGCAGGCCGGCCCAAGCGGGCGCGAGCGGCAACGCGGCTTTGCCGACCCAGGTCCAGGTTGCGGCCTGGGTGCGGGCAGTGCGCGTGCGTGGGCTGCTGTGGCAGGCTGGGCCGCACACTGTTGTTGATCGGCCGGTTACTGTTCCTACAGGCCGGGCCAAAATGAATAGAAGAGTATAGAAATGTTTTATTTAATTTCAGAAGCTGATTTGAATGAATTTTAATGAATTTCAATGGTTTAAAATTTCTGGTAAAATTACACCAACGTGTTATTTTTCCAGAAAGTAGATATGAACCAGAAAAGCTTCTGAAAAATAGATAATGAATTTTTTCATGTTTTTACTTTTTCTAGTAAATGTTTATTTCCTGAAAATTGATTAATAGCTTAAAGAAAATGGAAAAGAGAGTTTTCCTTTGGGTAAAATTTGAGAAAAAGAGAGTTTTTCTGCTGCTAAAGAAATTGTTTATTCTCCAGTTATTTTGAACCAACGTGTTATTTTAATTGGAGAAAAAGAGACTTTGACATGATTATGATGTTATTATTTTCTGACCAACGTTGTTAATAACAATATCGTAATTTTAATGATTTTATGCATTAATTTTATTTCTGTCCAACGGTGATGTAGAATTAGTGTATAAGAACAGTTGTGAATTTTAATGATTTATGCATTAATTCTATTTCTGCCCAACGGTGAAGTAGAATTAGTGTGTAAGAATAGTTGTGAATTTTAATGATTTTATACATTAATTCTATTTCTGCCCAACTGTGATGTAGAATTAGTGTATATGAACAGTTGTGTGTTTTGATTTTGACCAACGTTGGAATCAAGGCATGCAAATGGTGTTATTTTTATGTTAAGAAAAGGTTTGACCTGGTTTTTATCTTGTCTAAGGTGGACTGGGTAGTCACCTCGCCGTGTTCCACAGAGCCTGTGGCACCGGTGAGGGAGACAAACGAGGATGGTGCCGTTTGGGCAAATAAAGAGAGGGATTTTGAAATCCCGAAAGATGTCCTATGCCCTTGTGCATAGGAAGTGGATCACTGCCAACAAGAAATGTTTGGCTGTGATAAAGAACACGATTGAGTCTGCAATTGTGGGCTTAATCCCAGAGTTTGACACGGTCAACGAGTACATCGATAGAATAAAGAGTCAGCTCACTGGCTCTTCAAAGACATATGTTACCCACCTGATAAAGCAGTTGGTGACAGAGAGTTACTCTGATAATGGTGGCATAAGAGAGCTCACAATGCGTCGTCGAAATTATGGCACTATCGTTTAGGCCATATTTCGAGGGGGAGAATAGATGGACTAGTTAAGAATAATATTCTTCCTCCATTAGAGCTCTCAGAATGCATAAAAGGAAAGTATGTAAAGAAAATTAAGAAAGATGCCAAACGAAGCGTAGAAATTTAACAGATTATTCACACAGACATCTATGGTCAGTTTCCTGTAAAAAGTGTGGATGGTTATGTTTCGTTCACAACATTCACAGATGATTACTCCCATCATGGCTATATTTATCCAATCAAAGAAAGAAAAGAAGCATTGGATAAATTTAAGATATTTAGGGCAAAAGTTGAAAATCAACACAATTTAAAGATTAAGATAGTCAGGTCCGACCGTGGGGGAGTACTACGGTCGGCATACCCCATATGGCCAAGTTCCTGGACCTTTTGCAAGGTTCTTACAGGAGAATGGTATAGTAGCCCAGTATTCTATACCGAGCGAACCTCAGCAGAATGAAATAGCTGAAAGACGCAATCGTACCCTGATGGATATGGTGCGTAGTATGATAAGTTACTCCACCTTACAGTTGAGCCTATGGATGGAGGCGTTAAAAACCACCATTCATATTCTCAATAGAGTACCAAGTAAGTTAGTGCCCAAAACACCATATGAGTTATGGACAGGAAGAGTACCCTCACTAAACCACTTACATGTGTGGGGAGGTCCTGCTGAGGCTAAAGTATTTAACTCAAACATTGAGAAACTAGATCCCAAAACAGTAAGTTGCCATTTCATTGGCTACCTAGAAAAGTCAAAAGGTTTTCGTTTCTACTGTCCAGAGAGATACAAAGTTTGTGAAAACGAGACACGATGTCTTCCTAGAGGATGAATGGATGAGGGGGAGCATGGTAGCTCAAGAAATTGACCTTAAAGAGAAGCGGGTGTATGCACCCACTCCAATGATTCATGGGCTAATTTTCTCACTACCTACTATCGCTGCACCGACAGTGCGAGATACTATGGTGTCAGCACCTGTTGTTATTCCGCCTGTAGCAACAATGAATGACCATAAGGAACTTGTTCTTCAGGATCCTATAGAACCTATTGCCACACATGAGGGGGAGCAACAACAGCCTCAAATAGAAGATGTGCCAAATATGGAGGTCCCTAGACGGTCTCAAAGAGTTAGAAAATCAGCTATTCCTGCTGACAATGAAGTATACAACACTAAGGAATTTCAAATAGAGGATGATCCCACCTCATTTGAATAAGCCATGAAAAGTGATCATTCATCAAAGTGGCTTGAGGCCATGGAAGATGAAATGAAATCTATGAATGCCAATAAAGTTTGGGACTTGAAG